TCAACGTCTGACCCACTGAAGGTGGAACCGCCCAGGCTGCTCGAACGAAAGGACACTTCGTGTTGACTATGGCGACATCCACAGACAGCTTCTGCTTGACTTTGCCATCGTTCGGAATAACCCTCTTCTTGCGCTTCTTGTTCTGCTCCACTGGCCCTGTCTCCGTCTGCTTGGCCTCATCATCCGCGGCTGAACTGACTGAACTGCGCATGCTGCTGCCGCCCACGTGCATGGCCCGCATGCACACAGAACAATCGCTGCGAAAACAGAAGCAGGCCGGCGTGGCCGAGGCCGAGGACGACTTCGACGATGTTTCTTGCTGCTGGTGCCCCTTTGACTGGGACTTGGCGCTATGCTCTCGTGTGCTGCCGTTGCTTTCGCAAGGAAAGCTGTCTTCAATGACCAGCGTTAGTTTTTGTTTTTTCGGCGGCTTCTGCTGGATTTGGGTATCTTGGCTGCAGTCTGGACAGCTTGCGCGAAAGCAATAGCAGGATCTGGCCATGGCCATGGCTTCACACGTGCGCAGATGTTCACGACTCTACAGAGACTGTACACACAGACACACAGACAGACACTTGAGGGGAGTCGGCAGTGACCAGTGACCGTGCTCATCTCATATTTCCATGTCCAACGCCACGCAGAACCATGAATCATGCTAGTTCCTCGGTTTGTGCCTCCGCATGTCATGTGCAGTGCAATAGTGCAATGTGCAATTACGGTTACATGCGCAGCCACATCCCACTCTGCATTGCATGACAAGTGCAGTCAACCATGCATCCAACGAAGAACTAATCATGGGCCAGCCGGGCCTCGGCATAGCCCGAAGACTGGCTGGTCCAGCGAGATCTGCAGGCCTCGGAAAGTCGATTGAAACACTTCTTGGCTTGAGCGCAAAGCTGGCATGATCTGAGCTGCGCTGGTCAGTGCACTTGAAAGACGATCCACGCGAGCTGCAAAGATACACTTTGTTGCAGATTGCAGCCAGCACACCAGAGGCAGTCATGCAATGGCGGCGGCTTCGATCAAAAATCAGCCGAGGTCGAGGTCGAATACGAGTCGGGCAGTCGGGCCAGTGCATACAGCGCACATGGTCAGGTTCACAACTCACAATTTGAGGAATGAGAGCATCGTCTGTCGACTGCAATCTCTACTCTACTCTCTTGGCCTCTCTCAGACTGCTTGGCCTGTTGCTGTTGACACGTTGACTGTTTGTTGACTAGGAACAAGAGAACCAGAACCACAGCAGCCACAGCACTGGCACCAGCCCAAAACTACGTAACTGACTACAGGCTACAGCCGAGTCGAGGCTGCAGCTGAGTTGAGACATCGATTCGTCTTCTCACTCCTCCATGTCCCGTCCGTTGGCCTCGTCATCGTTCATGTCCTTCTCGTTCTCCTCCTCCTCGTCTGGCTCCGGCTCTTCCTCCTCACTCTTCTCTTCCGTCTTCTCTTTCTTCTCCAACTCCGGCTTTGCCTCATCCCCCCCCTCGGTTTTCGCCGCATTTTTCCGCGGCGTCGGCGGCTTCTTTGCTCTGGCCTTCCTTTTCACCTTTGGAGCTGGAGGTGGAAGAGGAGGAAGACGTGGAAGCTGCATCTCCGTGCCGTAGTCCTAGAGTCAAACCAACATGATTCAAGATTTCTCAAGGGTCACTGGCACTGATCGATTTGCCTACCGCCCGTCGCCGTGTCTGGGTTCGGTTCAGGCTGCTCAAGCTGTGAAGAAGAACCAGAAGGCACAATGACACAATGCATGACGAGGAACAATCAAAATCTCAGTGTTGCGCGGAATTTGCTTCAAGATTTTCAGCTGAAGCAAGTGGGATCCCAGTCCTGCCGTGAGGCATGCAAACATGATCCAGGTCGGGTTTTAAAACAGAACCTGTCCTTTACAAAGAAGAGGCCATTAATAATTAATATCTTTGTATTTTGAATGAGCTGCCTGCCTGCGGATGGGTTCAGAACCAGCTGTGCGTTTGGCACGAGGCCGAGGCCGTCGAAGTGATTCACGAAACCCGCTATGCCTGTGAGCACGATGAACTTGCACTTGCCACCCTGGCGAGGATTCTCCTCGTCCTCGTCATCCATCTCAACCATCTCAGACTCATCCTGAATGCGAACTCTGCAAATACGCTGCTGACAGTCGACCTCCGTGGCAAAGGCGCGAGCGTCATGCAATGAGTCAAACCACGGCCTGAGCTTGGAGCTAATTACTGGCAGAAACCACACGGAAGCAGCAAAAACTAAAAACCACGAGGACATTGTCAAGGCGAGCGGCCCTTTGCACGCTATGAGTGTATCTTTTTTCAACTGCTTTTGCGCATGCAGTCCCACACCCACCACTGTCGGGGCCGACGTTGCCGATGTCGGTGCCACTTGTACTTTGTGTTTCGACATGGCCAAGAAGTTGCGACGAGAAATCACCTCAGTTGACAGTTGACGCCAAAGACTAAGAAGCAATAAGGACAAATCAGGATTGAGACCTCTTCAGTGAGTGCATCACGTACCTAAGGCTCAGGACAATTCAATTCCTGGACTGCCAAGTCGCCATTCTCTCCTTGCTCATAACATTTTGCTCAGGACTTTCTTCGTCAGAGTCGGCCTGGGCTACGCTGGCAAGCTCCTTGCTGCAAAGGGCAGCACCCACTGTGATGCAACCCTGATAACCATGCTCAGTCATTGATAACTCGCCCGCCAGGTCAAGCTCCTCGCCATCTTCATCGCCAGCATCATCTTCATGAACAGGATTTTTGTCTGGCCCTCCCTCTTCGTTGCCATCTCTTTCTAGTTTGAGCTTCCGAGGGCTTTGGCGAGGGCGCTTCTGACTCTGCGTTCCGCGGCTGACGACAGTAGCGTCTGCAACGGTGCTCATGTCAGTCTTGACCACCTCCACGGCAAGGGCGAAGTTGTGCCTGATGTCCATGTTGCTGACGCCGCCTTCGGCCGTGATGCCCTTGGGCGCAACTTTCATCATTAACTGCAGCTCATACGCCCGAAGCTTGCCGTAGACGCGGTTCCATTCCAGGACTCCCTTCATGATCCCTGTGGCAAAGGGCAGCGGGAACGGCAAGATGATCGCTTCCACGTGCGCGGGGACAACGGCCAAGAGCTGCATGAGGAATTCGGGAGCTACGCCATTCTGCCACGTTTTGCGTAGGAACTTGAACTTGGCAGCCTGGCCGCGGCACATTATAATGAACGTCTGTGGCCCAACACGGCTAGCGGCTACGCAGCAGGTTGGGTTCTCTACTTCTATCGAATGTCGACTGTCATCGATGTCCAGGACTCTCGGCCCCTGACCAGTCTCGAACCCGGAACCCTCCACCCTGACCTAGACCTAGACTGTCTGCGCTTCTGGCTGACAACAATGATCCCTGGCCTCCGCGTCATCTGGATCCTCGTCGGCCACGGCTTCGCTGTCCTTGAGCTGCTTGTCATCCTCGTCTGTCGTTGCAGTCGCCTGATCCCCCTCTGTCCTTGACTTCTTTGCACGGCCGGTTGTGACGACTAGCATACTCTCCAGAGCCGTCACTGCCGGGCACTTCAGCAGCTGATCCGGCTGCGGGCTGGTACCACAGCTCAAACAGGAGCAGACACGCAGATAGGGATCCGGGTACCCACTCGGAACATGGATCACCTTAGATGAACTGATCCACTGCTGCGCTGGAGCCATGGAAAATCGAAACAAATGGGACTCATGAGAAAACCGAACGACGACCAGCATTCAATCCTCCATCATGCGGGTCGTGTAAGTGCCTGGACCGGAGAGTCAGAAAGCCAAGAAACGTTTGGCAGCCAGCCCTCAGCTGCCTTCATCCCACGGCCGAGGCATAGGAACTCGACGTATTGCGAGGATGCGGACGTGGACGAGGAGGGCGAAGTCGAAGACGAGGCCGCAGCATTTTGCACAACACAGGTAACGTAAGGCTGCCAAAGCACTTGTGGGACCACAGTCTGGACGGCCTCTGCTTCTTCCAAGGTTCGACTCAAGTGAGGTGACTGTGTGTGTGTGTGTGTGTGTGTGGGTGTGGCTGGGTGTGTGTGTGTGTGTGTGTGGGTGTGGGTGTGGGTGCGGGTGTGGGTGTGTGACGGTGTGTGCGTGTGTGTGTGCGTGTGTGTGTGTGTGTGTGTATGACTGTGTGTGTGTGTGACTGTGTGTGTGTGGGTGTGTGTGTGTATGACTGTGTCTGTGTGTGTGTTTGTCTGTGTGAGTGTGTGTGTGTGTGTGTTGGACGCTGATTGTCTCAATGGTTGACTTACATCTAGATGTCCTTCTTACATCTTTAACCAGACCCAAGAGTAACCTAGGAATAAAAAGGGTGCCCTTTTTTGGTTTAAAGGGGCTTACAAGGGAGCCTAAAGCCTAAAAAAAGGAATAAGGGCCCACTCTAGGTCCTAGTTAAGGACGAAACGGTCAAGCTTCCACAGCTTTAGCCTGAAACAGAGCCTCCTGAATCGTCATAAGCGAGGTCGGGTCATGACCCAAGCTGAGCACCATGAAGTCCGTCTGTGAGAAAGAGCTGAGCCACGGAGCCTTGTTCATCTGTGGCATAGAAGTGCCTCGCAGCAGAAGTAACTGTAATGTCGTGTGACTCTGCGCGCTGCGCGAAAGCAAGTTGTCTGTTTTTAGTTCGGTTTTGCACCATGATCCATACACTCTCGCACACAGCCTGCCTATGCCAAGCTTCTTCGGGCCACGATCGTGGGCCTTGAACCCAACCAACCAGAGCCGCACGGACTCATTGGAGCTCAGGTTCATCGAAGGAAGCGTCTCACCATCACAGACATGGAAGATTTGGTCGAACTCCACGTCCACCCGAGCTCTCACCGCCCTCTTTTCTTCCAGCTCCTTTTCCTGGCGACGCTGCTCCGCTGCCTCATCCTCCAGCCTCTTCCGTTCAGCAGCTGCTGTGTCCTCCTCCTTCTTGCGCCGGATGGCTTCCAAGGCCGCCGCCTCCGCCGCCGCTTTCTCCAGCTCCCTTCGCTCTGCTGCAGCTTGCTCTTGCTCGAGCTTCTTCTGTGCAGCTTGCCTTTCAAGAGCTTCTGCCTGTATGCGCTCCACTGTCTCCAAGTTGCGGCGCAGAACTTGTTCCAAGCTGGAGAACTCATTCTGGCTGCTGCGGGCAAGAGATGGCATCAGCTTGCACTGGTTGATGTGTCCAGCCAACTTGCTGAGCAAGACCGGGTCGGAGAAAACCCGGCTCACGAGCTTCTGGGCAGTGGGGACGCCCTGAGCCAGCAGGAGAAATCAAAATATTGTTCTTACAACTTCAGGACGGCTTTCATGACATGCTGAAGTACTGCTGTTTAGCTGAGGCACATCGTACACTGCGGCGTACTGCACGCGCAAGGAGTCAAAGTACGCGATGGCCGCCCCAATATGCTGACACATCCCTGAGAAAACCTGGGAGTTCAGAGTTGAGCCCGCTGTGGCCTTTGAGGCCGAGGACGAGGACGAAGCCATCACTGCTTGGTCCACCTTTGCACATGCCATCCGCATGGCTATGACTTGTGCATCGTCTCCGGCATCTCGGTCATATGCCTCCGAGCTGGCACCGAGCTGGCACAACACCCCTCAAAAGAAGTCATGCTGCAACGTCACAGAAGAGGACTGTTCTGTGCGCAAGCTACCCAGCCTTCACCACTTTGCCCTTGAGATCCTTGAGTGCTGTGGAAAGAAGGAAAACCTCCTTCCACATCCCCATTTTCTTCAGCGATGTAGATCGGCGCCAGTTCACAAGGTAGAGCAAAGCCTCATTGGGCAGGGCACACTGTGAACTAGACCTGCAAGGAGTAAGAATACGACACAGGCCCAACTTCTTTAAACTTTCTGCCTCAGGCGACACGTGGTTCATCACCTTCAAGGTGTCGGACGTCCTCCTCGCTGCGTACTCGCCCATCTTTAAGAGCATGCGGTACTCGGTGCTCGCATCGTTGTGCTTCTCGGCCAGTGCCATAATGATGAGGGCGCTCTCAGCGAAGAATGCCTCTCAATGTCACGTCAGTTAGAACTCCCTGCACTGTGTGGCGAGTGACTCCAATGGAGCAGTGTGACACTGTGCAGCTCTGTGAAAAGTGGACATGTTCTGGGTGTACACATGTTAGTACAGCCCCAGCCCCTGGCTTGGATGACACATCTCACCTTGCTGGACTTCTCCCTCTTCACGGAGTCCGCTTCGAGGTGGATCACCCATTCCCTCGGCTGTTCAGCAACTCTCACAATGAGAATCAAGAATCAAGAGTAGTGTCCTGTGAGACATCAACAGCTGCTGCGAGGACACGAAAGAATTGAAGAATTCTCCTTCTACTTTGGCAGACTTACCGAGTGTGCTTTCTGCTTTCTGACAAGGCGCATGAAGGTGTTGAATTGGACCCACTCCACGTCCACGCCATTCTCGAAGATCGCGAGGACGTCCACGTGGGCGGGCGTCCTTTCCTCAGACGGGACCTGCTGAAGTTCTTGCGCCAAAGCCTTGATGGCGTGCAAGGATGCCCATGCTGGGTTCGGCAAGAAACCATCCGGACAAACAAATGGCATGCCCTGAGTGTGCAAGGTTCTTCAAGTCAGAAGTCAGAAAGACTGGACTTCAATAAGACATGAAGAAGCAAAGCAAGAATGGAAAACAAGAGCTCCGCACCTGCGAATGTGGCATCACCAGCCTCGCCATGGCCGACTTCGAAAAGCCATCTCTGAAACATCGAAGGAGGTCTTCTGCCGCGCCAATACCTTAGCCAAGGGATCGATGCTATCAATACACCGACATGTTTACACGTCACAGAACTGCAACATTGCATTTATCAACTTGAATCAACAAGCTGCGGTTGCCGCCCAGCCTTGAGCTAAACTTCTCGGAAAAACAAGACAGCGGCAACGTTCTTGGAAGTTCCGCGGAAGAGGGCGACGGCGAGGGCGCGGTGGTGTCGACAACATCCATGCTGTCACCGTCACCGTCTTTGGTGGGCTTTGCAAAGGCAGAGAACTGGAAATGTCCTTGTACAGTGGGCCAAGTCACGTGCAGCAGAGCTACCCGCCGTCTGAAAAGCCCTATTCCGGTTGCCACAATTGCATGTTCGACAGGGTGATTTCAGCAGGGTGTGGCCTGGCTTCACGGACCATGGATCAAATGCACGATGTTGCCGCATGGCTTCCTCCACTGTCTGGCTGCCCAAGTTGGGCACCGCCTTGCCTTCGAACGAGGTCGCCATGCTTTTCCTGCACTGCACTGCCAGGCCGAATACTAGCAGCATTCGCACGATCTCTGGAAATACATCTCAAATTCTGAAACAGCAAGCACTCCTGCCAGAAGTCGCTCACGGCTCACACAGCCAGAGGCACTAAAAAGCTGCAAGAAGCTCGGTGGAGGTGAAGTGAGCATCTGAATATCTTTGCTGTCTCTACAGCCATTCACTGATGTGTACTTCGCCATAACTAGGGTGCTTCGGTTTCTCTATTCTGATTCTGTCCTGTTGAATCTTGAATCTTGGAACCCTGATCCTGGTCCTACAACAGATCGCAGCCACAGTGCTCGCAGAATTCGCGGATACATCCATGCTGTCACTGTCAATGCTGTCTCCAATCACCAAGTGATATCGTCATGGATCTCCAGTCTGTCCGGACTGGAGTGGACTAATGGACAGCACAAGCACTCAAAGCAAAAGGGTAGAGAAACGTTATGATGTGTCTAATATGAGCTTCCAAGCTATATACATGGTCCGTCTAATTTCTTTTGAGGCAAGATCTCCCTGCAACACCCGTTGGGGCCGGGGCCGTTGGGGCCGGGGCCACGATGATGATGACGATGCTTCACGACCTTGTTGTTTCGCATGCATCCCCATTTTACTTCTTTTCTAATCACAACGTCACATTGTGAATAAGACAGCAGGAGAAGCCGCAGCAGCAGCAGAAAAAGCAGCAGCACTAGGAGTCCCAGGACACAAGTTTACGTATGTGATTATGTGATATCTCCCCGTTTTTGAGTATCGGAACTTTGTGTTAAGCTCTGCATTAAGCTCTGCCGTTCGGGGAAAAAGGGGGAGATACGTTATGTATCTCCCCCTTTTTAGCACCGGAACTCTGCGTTAAGCTCTGGGTTAAGTTGGACCGCTCGGGGAAAAAGGGGGAGATACGTTATGCATCTCCCCCTTTTAGGCACCGGATCTCTGCGTTAAGCTCTGCGTTAAGCTGGACCGCTCGGGGAAAAAGGGGGAGATACGTTATGTATCTCCCCCTTTTTAGCACCGGAACTCTGCGTTAAGCTCTGCGTTAAGCTGGACCGCTCGGGGAAAAAGGGGGAGATACGTTATGTATCTCCCCCTTTTAGGCACCGGATCTCTGCGTTAAGCTCTGCGTTAAGCTGGACCCCTCGGGGAAAAAGGGGGAGATACGTTATGTATCTCCCCCTTTTTAGCACCGGAACTCTGTGTTAAGCTCTGCGTTAACCAGGACCGCTCGGGGAAAAAGGGGGAGATACGTTATGTATCTCCCCCTTTTTGAGTATCGGAACTCTGCGTAAAGCTCTGTGTTAAGCGGGACGTTAGGATTCGGAGACCAGGGGAATGTATATTGCAGTCTGCTGATTTTCGTCTTTGCGTCAAAGCCGCAAAAAGGGGGAGATACGTTTCGTATCTCCCCCTTTTTGCCCTTAAGGCTCCCCCTTTTTGCGCTGTCACCGA